AATTGCAATGTATCTGTAGAAGTAGCATAAGAAAAGGAGGGAAAGTTTGATACAAAGTATTATTAAAAAACATTTGCAGAATGCTAAATCCTTTTAATCGTAATTAATCTTATAGTAAAAAGATATAACTGATGGAATCATCTAATTTCCTGTATTGAAAATAATTATTATAATTATGGTCAATTTAACATTCTTCAATCGTGCATAAAACCATCTTTGGTAAAGAAGGAGTGCTTAATTTCTTTTTAATACTTTTCATACTTTAAAATATATGATTTAAAATTGAAATAACTAAAATAAAATAATATTAAATGCTAAAGAATGAATCAGACAGTTGTACTTAAACGGAATACCATAAACATGTTATGCTAATAAACACACAAATTGCATCTTATAACCACTGGTTGCAAAAAAAGGAAAATGAGTGTCCTTTAATGGCAATCAGTGCTCTATTTTTCAACTTGTTCTGTCTGGGATTCCTCTAGTTTTTCTGCATTTCGAGTAATAAATTGCCAAGGAACTTATTCAGTCTTCTTAAGAATCGTAAAAACTGTAACCATTATGCAAAAATATTTGATTTCTTCCTATAGGTCTCTTAATTCTAGAGTCTCGTGCAATTTGTGACACACTCTGTGAGAAGTAATGTGCACAAATGGTAATGAAAACGAAATTTTAATTGCACACTTTTCCAAACCTTCGAACTTTAAATATACACAGAGTGTATATTTGATTTACAAATACAAAATTATTCGTATACTTTATCGTTTTATACCATCCGAGAAACATCTACGATACGTTAACATAAATTACGAGAAACGACTAAATTTGATCCGTTGAAAAGTTTGTCAAGGTTCGGTGATATTATAAACATTAAGCTTCCACGAACAGTAAAAATTCTCCACCACCTTTTTTGCACTAAACCTTTGATTTATTCGCTTTGGCTCTTTTAAATAGCGTGTTTAAAGAAAAAAAATGTATAAATCCATGCAAAGGAGACGACACGTCTCGTTGGTCCATGCAAGAAGCTGCACGGAGGAATCCATCCTCGAGGCCAGTCTCTTTTTGCCGGAGCGACTCTGAAACGAATGAAAAAGTAAAGCGGCGACCATGTTTATAATGAATGGACGCGTTGCATATACACTGTCGTTCATAAGTATTGGAACGCTTATTGTGTTTGTACGTAAAGTATTAAACGATTTAGATTAGATTTATTCGCGAAAGTTAGTAAAAGTATGCAGGGTGTTCGCGATATAAGTGGTAAAGTGGTAAAATTTGTGAGAATAATAGAAGAGGACGAAGCTTCGTTATTTTTTATACGCAATACTACGGTTTGAAAAGATTTTTTTAAAAATTTGCAATGGTTTTCGCGCAATGACGATGCCACGAACTTTTTTTTTTTAATTGATAGCTACAGTTGAGAAAAGTTCCAACGACCTGCAACAAAACACATTTCCAAACTCAATTTCGTGACAATATTTGGAGTGGCATAATCATATGGTACACTATTGGGATCTTATTTTTATGAGGACACTTTAAATGGAAATGGGTATTTAGAAGTTTTATCATATACAGGGTGTCCCAATTCTTTCCGACCAAACTTTGTCAGTGCGTTCTGTGGGTATAAATGAGAAGAAAATGTTATATAAACATAGGTCGTTTGAAGCTTTATAAAAAAGTTATAACAAAAATACTGTGACTTGTAGTTACTGTGATGCAAAGTAGTTACTAGTCCATTTATACAAGCTGTGTTTACTGTCGAAAATCAGTGACTTTCTTGTCTTGTATCATAGTAACCGAAGGCCTGCATTTCTTATTTTTTTTTTTTTATAATTTTTTAATAAAGCTTCAAACGACCTATATTTGTATAACATCTTTTTCTTATTTATACCTGTAAAATATACTGGCAAAGTTTGATTGGAAACAAATTGGGACACCCTGTATATTTGTTGTACTACGAAGCTGCAGGCTGAATCATTTTTTTCAGAATTTTAATGACTGCTTACCTATTTCACGTAGACTGTACACCTATTTCACGTGGTGGAAATAAGTTTCTTCATCGCAAACTCTGGCATAATTGTTGATCCATTGCCATGAATGATTACTATGCAATGAGTCAATCTGTGCAACAAATTAATAGAGCATATGTACATTGTTTTGATCGGCATCCGCGTACTTCACTTGCCTACATCTACTTAATCCTTCATTTTTTTTTTTTTTTGTACTATTAACTTTTTCTTTTTGTTTAAATATTACATCGAGCCTTCCTGGAATTTTTAAATAATATTTTTCATCCTTAGAAATGCTCCTCTTCTCTCTTGCCTTTGTTCCAGCAGTAATTTTGTAACAAAAAGAAAAGAAAATAGTGCTCGTTTTCGTTTCGTGGAATACAAAATTAGATTCGTATAAGGAGCCGTGTGAATTTAAGGTTTTTGAGACGTAAAACATTTCGTCTCGTTTATATAATTCTGCGACACTTTTCTCGTCTTTTTTTTTTTTGTAACTAAAGTACGTGTAAAATTACGCCTATAAAATTTCGCGACAATTGTCAAACGGTGAAGAATCGTTTTAACGTAAATTTTGTTAGACGTCGTTTTTATAGAATAACAAATTCACGTTTGTGTGATATGTTACAAATTATAAAATCTAACGAGAACGTGTAATGTCAGTGTTGAAAAATCTGGGTAAATTTATTACCGAATCATTTGTAATTTCAAAATTTATAGTACCGTGTCTAGAACATTTGAATCACAAATTGGTGAACTGTTTATAACCGATTCCATATCAACAAAAAGAAAAGGAAATGAATCGATGCCGGGGTTGACCTAGCTTCCGTTCAATGATTATTCACTCGTTGCCTTCGATAGAGGAAAAAACAACACGTGAAAAAGTGTCGTACAAAACCTAGTGATTAAGATGTTCGTATAACGGAAGAGTATTCCGTTTAACAGGTAACGAGCGAATCGTTAATGCGTGTCACAATAGAGGTTCCGATTTTTATGCAGCGCTGCTGAAGGTTCCCATCGAGGAATTATTTATCAGTCTATATAAAGATGGATCGATATTTAACAATTTGAAGAAGAGAGATTAAAGGCTAATTGATGATTATTAAGAAAATTTGTTTAAAAACTCCATTTGTCTCACACGAGTGATACAGGAAAAAATGTTCAGCTTACATCGGTGTAAAACATTGACTTAGGAAATTAATTATTCGATGATTTAATTGTACAGAGTGGGCCACCTAATTATCTTCTCTGTCTATGATAGTACGAGAATTTTTTTTCTGGGTAGTTTAAATGATTTCAAAAGATGAATATGATGGAGGAAAAATTTTTTACGAGTGTCACTTTTTTCTGTTTTTTTCAAGATCACTTATGTTTCTTTATATGAATGTGTGTAGGTATATATTTTGCACTACTTTATGTTGTAGCAGACATCGGTGTGCATTTAAATATGCATAATAGTAGGACATTAAAATGACCTTGGATTTAAAAATTTTTAAACAAATGTGAAACTTCCTTTCATTATTCACCCTTTGAAACTATTCAAATTACGTATAATACTTTTCTCGTGCCACCATAGCTAGAGAAGATAATTAGGTGACTTGTTTTACGTGGCCCATCCTGTATTGAAATCTGAATGTTTTGAAGCTCTTGTGGATACTTTCTAAAATGTATAACTCTAAAAATGTATACTAAATTGGAAACTGCAGAAATAGGGTGAATCGTGTCGCAAACATGTATTAAGTTTACAGTAACTTGTGCACGAAAATGCACTTACTCCCCTATAAAAGATATTTTAAAAAATGCTGAAATATTAAAAAAGAAAAGTACACGCTATTTTGACAAAAATGTTTTACAGTTAAATCACATTCGTCCTGTGCTAAACCTTGAAGTCCCGTTGAAAAAGTGCTCATCACAATTGCAATCTCATCTCGTGGGTATTTAAAGATGGACAAAGATGGAATTTTAATTTAATTTCGAAGATAAAAATAACAGCAAGATAAAAGGACGACGACCGGTTATTCGTGAATCTGAGGAGGAGACCGACTGTTATGTTCAGCAAATGACGAGGAAAACCTGAACGAAACAGTGAAATAGAGCCAGTCGTTTGGCGAATATAGAAGTCAAGTGGCGTGTTGAACAATTGCGAGCGACCCAGTGAAGTGGCGGCGCCGACTAGACCTTGTAACTTTTCCTAGCTGAACCTTGCCAATTTAATGCGAGACCAGTGTCCACGTGTTATCATCTGACGAAACGTGATAGCACGAAAAATCCATCGGAATCAGCGAAGAGTAGAGGTGAGTGCATTTACGTGACTTTTTCATGGAAATGTTCTACGACAGACTGGAGAAAAGGAAGAATAGGAAATCAGTTTCCAACGTGGATATACCGTGGGATAAAGTTTGAAATTATTTTTCATAGATGTGAAATTACAACGTGTCGCATTTTAAATGTTAAGCTTCGCGAGACGCATGGATATACATACGTGTAAGTTTGAAATCGTGAGATATTTTGTTCCTCTTGTAAATACAGAGAGAGAAATTGTGACATTGCGAATAATATTTTTCATTAAAGACTTAATTTGAAGAAATTTGTTTGTCCACGAGTAAAAGGCGAAAATAACTTGTAAATTTTTTAAATGTTTAAAATAATGTAGAACAATTGTATTAAAATTTAAAATAACTGAGATTTCGACTGCAATTCTCCAATGTTATTACTTATGTTATTATACATTTAATTAATATTCACTTGGATTTTCAACTATAAAGTAACAATCCTTCGTTACAATTTTCCTAATCCATCGAGAATATTGTGTAAATAAATAGCATAAAAAATCAAAAACACCAGGAAAACTGCCATGAAAAATTCTCTTCTCAAGGAAACCGAAATATTAACAATAATACGCTTTTAATAATATTTTCAATAATACTTTGTTTCTAATAATCGCTCTTCGTTGCTCCGAGCAGAGCCCACGAGCAACGGCCAGAGCAAGTGACGTTAACAATCAAGAATGGAGTGGGGAGCAACGGTAGTGATGGGATTGTAGGCTCGTAGGTAAATAGGCATATGTTGGTATAGTCGGTGGAAAAAATATAGCGATCTCGTAAAATCGGTCAGGAGTCAAAGTAAAGATGTCTCGAGTGTTCTAAGAAGGGAATTGACAGAAATGTGAAAAGATACGGACTGAAACACTCAGTCAGGGCCGTATTATGTATTTACCGCGCCTACACAAGTTCTGTCGTCACCTGTATTCTGCTTCAATTTTTATTACCTTATCCATTTCACTCTAAATTAGTTCCACGTTCTTAAGATTCAATTAGTCAGCTTTTCTACGTTGGTCATACAGGTTTACGACATATCAAGCATAGAAAGAAACTTCATATATTAAAAATGCTAATTAGCATTTTTCATTTGTTCGATAGTACATGAAACACCGTTAGTTATCAGTTGTCATCCCTTCATTGTGCGAACCCTAAAACAGAATGCCTTATACGGTCCTGGCTGCGGCTAGATCAATCTATGCCGTCACTTGATGCTTCAATTTACGACTTCGCTATATTTGTTCCACCAACCTTACGTTCTTGAGGCGTTTCGTATCATCGGTTACTTTTTTCAACACATACGATCGCTACTACTTTTTCAGGCCAGGCAGTCGCTACTGTATTCATATCGTGCCCCACCACAGGATCGTTGCTCGAGTGGGCGTGGCCTACTGTCCGAATATCGCTTCGTGCTCGAGTGGGCGTGGCCTGCTGCCCGAATATCGCTTCGTGCTCGAGTGGGCGTGGCTTACTGCTCGATTATCGTTCCGTGCTCGAGTTTGTCTGACTACTTCACATAGAGCAACTTCGAGGTCGGTCCTGTTTTAGAAGTTCTCCAATGTTCTCTAATCTATCAGTCTACTGAATAATGATGAATTAAATTTATGATGAATTACTTAGAGGAAGGGAATCCTCCTGTCATCAGAAACAAAGTAGATACTCAGCTATTGTGATTCTAATAAGACAACCTATGAGGGTGAGTTAATACACAAGTTACACTTTCCTTCTAAAAGAAAATCTGTTTTATTACCAACGTAAACTGACAGCCAGCTATCACTTCTCAACATAGTCACCGAGTATCTGTAAATACTTACCGCAATGAGAAATCAATTTTCGAATTCTGTTCTCAAAAAATTTACGTCCAATTTCCAGTAACCATTTTCATAGATGTTTCGACGTTTAACAATAAGCAAAAGGCTTAATTGTTCTTCCCTTAGGTATAAGTTCAGCGAGAATTATGCATTCTGAATTGAAAATAACAGGGAGATGTAAACTTCCTTATTGACTCATCCTCGTACATTTGCAACATTCTCTATATTTTACTCCGCAAAACCCAACAACCAGCGTCCACAATCTTGCCAACCACCAAATACCGTCCAAAGAGGCGATGACCAGAAGGAACAAAAGCAAAGAGCACAGAAGATGACTGTACACCTAGAACCATCATCGGACAGCTTTCCCATAAACGTATTACCAGCCTGCGACAATTTGACCGACTTCGTCGGCCATTCTCGCGGTCTTGACCTTGCTCTTGACGCTCGACCATGGCGGAACATCAGCGAATTCGATCACCTGATCCACTCAGGCACGCTGAACAACATAACGTGCCTGGAACACGCGCCACAGTTGAACAGTGGCACATTCTTCAAGGTGATCGTGCTAGCCGTGATGGCTGTGCTCAGCTTTGTGGCGAACGTAGCCACAATCTACTCTATCACGAGGAATCATCGAAGACAGCACACCTGGTCGGCGGTCTATATGTTGATTCTGCACTTAGCAGTGGCAGATCTATTAGTTACCGTGTTCTGTATCGGTGGGGAAGCAGTGTGGAGCTATACAGTGGCATGGATTTGGGGGAACGTCGCGTGTAAGCTGTTCAAGTTCTTGCAGGTGTTCAGTTTGTATCTGAGCACATTTGTGCTGATTCTGATCGGCGTGGACAGGTTCTTCGCTGTGAAGTATCCTATGAAGGGACTGAACACCTCTGATAGATGTTGGAAGCTGGTCATCGTGGCGTGGATCGTGTCTTTCGTATTCGCAGCTCCTCAGGTAAGAGTTACCGTACGGGTAATTGAAATATTTTGTTTTGTTGTGTAGAGATTATTTATGAAGCGGTAAACAGTTGTAAAAATTCTGTCTAGTTATTTGTATGTTACTATTTAATTGCTCGTAGGTCACTTATGTATACAGTATATTCTCCACAAGTGTCAGATCGCAAGGAAGCTAAACCTGACACTCGTAGAGTCAGGGACTACGTTTTCGAGCCTCGCGCCCACCTTTGTAGACAAGGACAGCGAATAAAAGATAAGCATGAAACGTGAGTCGAGGCAACAAACCGATTTACACATCAACTTTTTTAATTTTGTTTTTTTATATTTACAGGTTGCTGTTAGGCGGCCACAAGAAAATACATTTTAAGCATAGAATTATAGTATTATGCTTTATAATTTTCTTTTTCAATTGAAAATAATGTCAAGCTAGCTATGACGTTCAAAATTTTCAGTTGACAACATTTATTTTATTTTATTTATTCTAAACATTTTAGGCACTCCAGTCACTGATGACCACCATGGCCATATCGAGGAAGCAATGTAATGTTAAAACTTATCGAGTGGTTAATTTAATTTCATAATATATCGCTTTAGCGAGTCATCGTTTGGTTGCCACTAAAAAATTACATTAAATACCTGTACACGTTATCCG